TATTGTGGAGATGAGGTCTCGCCAAGTTGCCCGGGCAGGTCTTGAACCCGTGGGCTCAGGTAATCCACTCACCTCAGCCTCCCAAAGTGCGGGATTACAGGCTGAGCCACTGAGCAGGGCTAATATCTTTATTCTTCACTTAGCTGGCTGATGGTTTGTTTGTCTAAACAAAGGCAAACATTATGCTCCCTCCCTATTTTAAAGACATAGGCTCAGACTTCTGGGTTACTACGGAGAAGTGTGCTGTCATGGTAACTTTTATTTGAGTCAGTCTCACAGGCTAGAGTGCAGCGGGATGCTCACAGCCACTGCAGCCTCGACCTGCTGGACTCAAGACGATCCTTCCACCTCGGCCTTCCAAGTAGCTGGAACTACAGGGCATGCCACCATACCTGGATTATTTATTTATTTTTTGAGTTGGAGTCTCACTCTGTCGCCCAGACTGGAGTGCAGTGGCCGCTCCTGGCCACCGCAGCCTCGACCTGCTGGGCTCCGGTGATCCTTCCGCCTCAGCCTTCCAAGTAGCCGGAATTACAGGCACACGCTACCACGCCCAGCTAATTTTTTTTTTTTGAGTTGGAGACTCACTGTTGCCCAGACTGGAGTGCAGTGGCTGCCCACGGCCACCGCAGCCTCGACCTGCTGGGCTCCGGAGATCCTTCTGCCTCAGCCTTCCAAGTAGCTGGAATTACAGGCATGCGCTACCACGCCTGGCTGATTTTTTGATTTATTGTAGAGATGAGGTCTCGCTGCCCAGGCGGGTCTCGAACCCACGGGCTCAAGCAATCCACTCACCTCAGCCTCCCAAAGGCGCGGGATTACAGGCTGAGCCATCGAGCCCGGCTATGCATCTCTTCTAAAGCAATAGCAGTTGTTCTAAGAAATTAAAATCACCACTGAAGAAGCTACATTAGAGTTTATTGTGATCCTAATTCAGTTCAAGGTGACAAGTGAAATCATCTCTAGGCCAGCATGAGCTGAAGTCAGTTACTGCCTTTTAAAATACAAGATTTAAGAGATTTGTTCTCCATCCATCCTCTGAGGGCATCTTGAATCACGATTTCATTGGGAAATTGATTAAGTTAACCCCACACCGTCAATTCAGTAATCACGTGAACTCACAACTCAGAAGCAGCGGGAAGACAGAGAAGAGCATACTTTACAGTCCTTGCCTTTTCCACAGCCCTTTTCAACAGTGAATATTTTTATATTAATTATGATTTTTGTATTTCAGTAAACCTATAATCCTTCTTGATTTTTAAGGCCAAGTACTTGTTTCTAAGGCAGATTTTAAAATTTTCTTACAAGCTGTTAAGAAATTGATCTTGGTGGTAATTTAGAGTCAGATAACGCCCTGACTGGGCAGGTTTTGCTCTCACTCTGGTAGGTGAGGATCCCCCAACCTAGGTCCACTAAACGTCTGACAATCTCCCAGGCCATCTTCACTTCTCCAGAGAGGCCAGGTAGGCATACCAGAACAGAGCCACCAGGTTGGCAAAGAGCACCCGGAACTGCAAAGAAAACAGGCTGCGGTTAGCAAGAGACCTCAATCAACTCCCAAACTTTGGTCACCCAAAACATGGTTCGTTTGTTCAGCCATCTGTTCACTGGTTGGATAGCCACGTACCCACCCCCTGCCCACAACTGCATTTACGGGTCTTTGATTTGCACCATGTGCTGTGCTAGGCTGCTGGCGAGGGTGGGAGGACAAACAGACCCCTCGGAGCAGCGACAGGCGAACAGGAAAGACAGAGACCCAGGAGCCACCAAACACTGTCCCTTTTCCTCCTTTTCCACACGCTTGGGCTCCTAGCTCGGCCTCTCTCAGCCCAACACTGTATCACTTGGGCAGCCACACCCTCTGTGGGGAGCACAGCTGACAATCGGCCCCTCCCTAACCTCCCCTGCTGTGACACGCCCTCCACTAATCCATGGCTGTCCCACTGCCCAGCTTCAAGGCCTGACGCACTTATCCTACCTGGACCCACCTCGGCTGGGTGCTGAGGTTCTCCCTGGCACGTGGCTCCAGGGCAGCAGCAGTCTTCCCAACTTGCCAATCACTGTCCCACAGCTATAGCAGTGGGCACACAGCAGGTGCTCAATAAATACTTGCTGAACAAACTCCACTGCCCTTAAGCAAGCACCTGCAACCACCTAAAACAGAAGCCCGAGCCAGCTTGCAGCGTCTCTAACTCCTCAGAAGCACACCTGGATTGGCGCGCTCTCCCTGCTCTCAGCCGTCTGTCTTCTGCCGTCTCTGTCTCCTCTCTGCTCCCATGGCTGGTGTTTCCTTACCTGCTGCTCCTCAGGTGCCCTCCCTGGAAAGTCCTCCATCCTCCCTGCCTCCTCGCCTCCCCCCAGTGCCAGCCACAGCGGGACAAGTCCAGGCCCCTCTGCCCAGAAATCTGCCTCCAGTCAGCTCACTCCCCCATCCTCCATGGGCCACATGCACCCTTTTTGATCCCTCAAAATACCCATCCGGCTCCTCTTCCCTCAGTCCCTGTTGCTGACCCCACCTGTGTCTTCCCAGAATGGGCACTTGGGACAGGATGCCCCTCCATAGCCACCTTCTCTCTTCTGTCCCAGGCACCGCCCTGCCTCCTTTGGGGGCCCCGTGGGACCGTGCTTCTGGACAGTGTTTGCCCTTGCCACCAGCAGCTCCACATACGTGGCTGCAGGTCTCTGAGACCTCCCCTGCTGCCCAGCGTCTTCTCTCATTTCTCACCACCTTCCTCAATGTTCTAGACTCATGATTTCTTTTTTAATTCTCAACCACTCTTCAATGCGAAGCAACCTAGCTTTAGCCCCCATCGAGCTGAAATTGCTCTCAGGACGCTCACCGACAAGGGCCGCTGTTAAAGCCCACGGAAGCCTTTCAGTTTCTACTTCGCTTTAACTCTTGGCAACCGTCGCGGTGGGCCAGCCTCTCTGCCATGCCACTACACTCCTGGTTTTCTGCTACTTCTGGAAATGTATGTACGGGCTGTGTGGTATGCATGTGTGGTGGTATGATGTGTGCGTGTAGTGTGTGCTTGTGCAAACAGGGCCCGCCTCCTCCAGCTTCCTCCCCTTCCAGGCGGGTAGGAAGCCACCCCTGCACTAGAGCCAGAAAGGGTTCCCAGCAGCCTGGGCAGGTCCAAGGTCTGACCTGTCAGTTTCCCCACAGCCTGGCATGGTGCCCACCTTTCCCAAAAGGGGCACTGCCTTGTGTCTGGACTGCAGCACAAGCCACGTGGCCTCCACACAGCTGTTTTTCATCTGGGGCTGGAGCACCAGGCAGAGGCACCCCCCCACCAGCCTCAGTGAGGCCCTAAGCGGGAGGGGGAAGCATGTGGACGCTGCCGGCCCTCCTCCCATGGCATCCGGCGGGAGTGGTGTCTGCCAGGCTGCATGGGGCACTAAGCCCGAGTTCTCCAGCATGGGGGCAGTCCTGGGAACCCCACTGTGCACGTGGGCATTGACATCTGACCCTGAACATGCGCCCTGCAGTCTGCTCCAGCCAGCACTCTGCTCCTTCGTCCAGGAGCCAAGCCCCAACTCTGATACCTCTGACTCGCCCCCCTGGAGACCCCCCACAATGACCCTTTTGTGCCTTCTCTCCACAGTGGCCAGCCAGCTTGCCAGGCCTGCCCAGCGTCCTTGGAGGCCCTGTTATGGCTCAGGTGTGGCTTCTGAGGCTGCAGGTGAAGCTGCCCTTCCTGGTCCTGCCTTCAGGCCTGTGGGGATGGCTGCATGGCCGGCCTGTGTGTGCAGTGGTAGTTTGAGTCCAGGGACCAGGAATGTTTACTTTTATTTTATTTTGAGTTGGGGTCTCACTCTGCTGCCCAGGCTGGAGTACAGTGACAGGCTCACAGGACACTACAGCCTTGACCTCCTGGACTCAGGCAATCCTCCAGCCTCAGCCTCCCAAGTAGCTGGGAATACAGGTGTGAACCTGGCTAATTTTTTTTTGAGTTGGAGTCTTACTCTGTTGCCCAGGCTGGAGTGCAGTGGCACACTCACAGTCACTCCAGTGTCAACCTGTTGGGCTCCAGCAACCCTTCTACCTCAGTCTTCCAAGTAGTCGGAACTACAGGTTCATGCTACCATGCCCAGCTAATTTTTTTATTTATCATAGAGACGAAGTCTCGCCAAGTTGCTGGGACCGGTCTCAAATTCATGGGCTCAGGCAATTTACTTGCCTCAGCCTCCCAAAGTGCTGGAATTACAGGCTGAGCCACTGAGCCTGGCCCCTGGCTAATTTTTAAAAATTTTTTGAGATGCTGGGATCGGTGGCTCAGTCTATAATCCCTCGCTTTGGAAGGCTGAGGTGAGTGGATTGCCTGAGCCCGCGGG